AAGTAATTAAATAATATTAATAAGAACCAATTACAAGCTGCTACGTGGCACAATTAACTTAATTACTAACGGCGTTAACGACAGTTAGAAAAAATGGCATTCTGTGTTAATGTACATAAACTCAGTGCTATATGGTGAATTAGAAAATTTTGTGTGGTATATGGTGAATTTTGCAATAACTCAGTGGTATTTGGTGAAAAATCCGATTGAAAAATTTAATCTAAGAAAATCGAACACAAATTGAAAAAAAATTAAGCTGTAAAAAAAAAAAAAAAATGAACATTATACATTGAAATAATCTATTAACGTATAAGAATTTGATGATAAATTTGATAAACTTACCATATTTTGATGATGAATTTCCGCCCAAATACATAGGAAAGAGAGAGAGAAAAAGAGAGAGAGGGGGCAGAGAGAGAGAAATAAGTAGCTGAAATTTTTAAATGTAAGCTATGAAATTTACATATATGCCATTATTAAATAGTGAAAATGGACGGTTAGATCTAAGCAAATCAACGGTGTAGATTCGTTCTTATATATTAGAGTGTTCCCACATAAGGGATGTATTCTCACATGATGCACATATGAGACATGTGGCAGTTTTTGATTACTTTATATGGGATGTGTTCTCACAAAAATACAAGCAAACCGTACAACACAAATGTTTAAAAGGTTTCAAAATTTAGACGATGCACTAGAATAACTGGGTGATATATCCCAAACTCTTACAAACACATTATTGCTTTGGTTTCATCTTATATACCACATTTGCAATAAATGGCTGCTACACATTTTGTGAAAGAAAATACAAAATTTTCTTTTGTAGTAAATTTTTCAAATGAAAATATCAATCGTTACTTACGTTCAACTAACACATTAAATCAAAAGTTATTAAGTTATTAACCTAACTTAATTTACCCCTCATTAAAACCCTACCCCACATTTTCTCTCCTCGTTCCCTACCATCACTATTATTCTCTCTTAATTAGAATAAAGTGAAGACAGCAAACTTGTTATTAAGATTACACTAACAAGAGTAACAACTGTCATGTTGGAGGTGACAATAGGTGAAATGGTAGTTTGTCAAATTTATTAGGAAAAATTGTCGCGAATAATCCGATCTTTGCCTCATCTGCCCAAAATAATCCCACAATTCGATTGTTTTTTTAATAATCCGACCTTTATACCTAATCCGCTCAAAATGGTCCCAACCAGTCAAGTAACTTGTAATAGACAAGTTAAATTTAAAATAAACACGTGTCGAACTGTGATTTGTCAAACAAAATTTAAAATAAAATAAAAAAATTTAGAAAAATTGAAATTTTTTTAAAGAAAAAAAATAGTAATTATTTACAAAACCGCCCACCAGCCTAAGCCACCCTTCTCCACCGCCTGACTCCCCTGTCCCGTGGCTCCGGCCTCCCAAACCCCAAACCCCAGCACCAGCGCCGCGACTGATCCCCTTCCCCTAAACCACCAACCCACCTCCCTCCCACACAAAAACCCAAGCAGCGCTTACGCGAGCCATTAAACATCCCCAACCCTCGAAAACCCATTTCCGTAATCTTAATAACAAATTTATTGTCTTCACTTCCATAATCCCCTTCCCCCGGACGGGCCGTACCAATTGTGGCTCTTCTCCCCTTCCGCATCAAGATTTCGGCCTCACTCCCCTTCCCTTGGCTCGAGTTCGACCTTCCTCACCGTCCCTCGCCTATATTTTGGCCTCCCTTACCTTCCTTCTCCCCAATTTCGGCCGCCTAGACCACCCACAATAGCTCCTGTGATAGCGAGGCATCTTGCACCGCGAGCTCTGATCTCACGGTGGTTGGGCTGGGGGAGGGAGTGGCTGGGTGGCTGCCCCATTTTTTTAATTCAATTTTTTTAATTTACAATTTTAGACAAATAATATGGTGACACGTGTACTTTAAACCAAAAATAAATAAATTTACCTATTTATCAGGTAACCGGTCACTTGGGACCATTAGGAGCGAATTGAGTATAAAGGTCGGATTATTAAAAAATAATCAAAAGGTGGAATTATTTTGGGCGGATGAGGCAAAGGTCGGATTATCCCCTAGGCAATTTTTCCAATTTATTATACAATATACTTCCTTCGTTCCCCTAAAATTGCAATACGAGGAGGGCACGCTGATTTTAAAAAAAAAAAGGAGAGATAGAGAAGAATAAAGATAGAAACACATATGATGAGGAGAGAGAAAGAGAGAAAACATGTTTAAATAGAGTAATATTGCAATATTTGTGGAATAGAGGAAATATAATCGTTGCTCTCTTTTTTTTTTTTTTTATTTACTCTCAATCCATGTCATCCATAAACATTCAATTCTTAATAAAAGATGAGTAATATATATGGTTATTTTGACTTTTGGTAACATCAAAATACCCTTCTTTGATTTTTGGTATCAATCTAAATTTTTATTTTATTTTACTACCACAAAAAATCCATAACTATAGATTTTATTATCACTTAGCTATTTTATCTCGTTTTTTGTGCTAAAAAATTTTTTCTTAAGGTTTTAGAGGTTAATTTAGGATTGGCCAAATTAAGCTCGAAATTGACAGAAAAAAAACGTAAAGGTCTCGTCTTGTGTGTTTAGAAATGTATCGATTTGTGTGTCGTTAACGGCTTTAGCTACAAAAATTGTCCAGGTAAGATTTTTGGGGTCCTTTTAGTCCTTAAGGTTCCAAATTGACCTCGAAATTAGAAAAAAAAAATCACGTAAATCCCTCGTTTTGCATGTTTATATCGAAGTGGTACCAAAAGCTATAATTTTGGATTTTTGGTGGTAGCAAAATAAAATAAATTTTAAATAGGTAACAAAAATTAAAGTAGGGTATTTTGGTGATATCAAAAGTCAAAATTTCCTAATATTATAAAAGAAAAAAAAAGTGAGATCATATAACCCTTCCTAAGGCATCACTCGGACCTAAAAGCTAGATTTATTTAGAATGCCTTGTTATGTACGTTGAATTTGAGTTCTTTCTCTCACCCTTTTGAGTTAGTTTCCTTCAATCTAGAAGCATGTAATTTTGCATGTTGAATGTTTAATGATGTGAAACTTTTACTCCATAGGTTTGATGTACGCACGGTTTGGAAGGTTGCAACACTTGCAAGGTCTCAAGTTTGTGAAGCACATATATACACAGAAATTATGTTTGTAGTAAATTAAAAATTAAAAACAAAAGAGAAGTTAAACTTGCTACTGCATAGTCAAACAAGCATCAAAGGACGCCTATCTTGCTAATTGGAGCATCGAATCCAGCACAATTGCATTAAGAACACTAGTCGATCATACAAATTATAGCACAAAATCTAACATGGATCAATTCAACCCGACAACCCGTATCCGAGATCCGCGAAGACCCTATCGTCCAGCTAAGCACCTACACAGATAATGAGGATTAGCTAACCCCCGGGTGAGTCCTGGGATAACCACTACGATGACAAAGTTCGAAAGTATTTAGGAAGAAGAAGAGAAGATGCCGAGAGAGAGAATGAGAGAGAGAGAGAGCATTTATTGTTTTTCTCTAATCTAAGTATTAAATGGCTTATTTATAGTAGATTTTCCTCCCAGGTGGCTGCATACCATGCAAATAACATACATGCCAAGTGTTGGTCGTCCCACGCCACGTGGTGTACGCAGAGTGACCATGGCTCTTGCCGTTATGAGTGAACACCGATATGAGTTTTCTGATCTACATTTGTAACCCGAGCCATTTCCAAAAGGTTTGATGTCGGCACTGTTATGCCCCTTATCGGTATCCTCCCATACAACTAGCCCCCCAAGTGAGGACATCTGTGCAACTGATGTTCTCATTTAATCAGGCTCCACGTTCAACCGATTGTTTGGGTTGCCTTGTGGATGATCTTTATTGGACCACGTTTGGGAGGCTGAAGTTGAAATCTTTTGAGGACATTGGTGGCATTTGAACACAATCATTTCAACCTTAGGAGGCTGAGTTCTCACCTGAACTCAATCATTTCAACTTTAGGAGACTAAGTTCTCATTCGAACTTAATCATTTCAATTTTAGGAGATTAAGTTCTCATTCAAACTCAATCATTTCAACTTTAGGAGATTGGGAGCCAAAAATCTCCGATTTGCCCCAACTAGTAAGACGATACTGCCCTGTGGCCTTACTGTCGAACCGTTATATCCAATTACAGGATATGAAACTTGTCAAATATTGTCTGCCTATCATCATTGCATCAAATTCCTTCATGAATAGAATATATATTTGTTGAACTCCCTCCATCAACCAGAACCCGTTTTATCTCTGCCCCATTTATCAAGAGTATTAGTACCAAAGGATCATCATGAGAAAAGACAATTCCCTTCGCATCTTCTTTTGAGAAGGTGACGCTAGGAATGTCGGAGGTCCGAGGACGGCTTTCAACATCCAGCACATTCACTATATGTCGATGTTAAGACAAGCTTTTTCTGGCACCGCTAATCGTCCCACCATGCACTAGTCCACCGGTAATAACATCAACCACTATGTTCCTCCTAGATGACGGTTGTTTTCTTTCGTCTCCCGATCATTTTACTCTGACCTGTCGCCTATTATTTCTGGTGTCTTGCTGTCGATATTATGTCTGACGGGGGACTATCGGTTGTTGACCTTCCCCATAATGCAAACGGTATTGAGTTAGCTGCCCTTTTCTGATCAGCTCTTCTATGTTATCTTTCAACTGCGTGCAATCTTCAGTGTAATGGCCGACATCACAGTGAAACATGCAACACTTTTTCATATCTCTGCCCTTTTCCTTCATTGGCGTCGGTCTCACCCAGTCTTCCCGATTCTGACTTACCGAGTAAATAGCGGCCTTAGGCGTATTCAATGGAGTAAATGTACTATACCGTGCTGGTGCCTTTGTACCTCTTCCCTCTAGTCGGCTCCCACCCCCTCTCATCGGACCTAGGGTTCTGGGCCTACTACTTCCAGATGTAGTATTGTCATATGGATGCTAGTTTTTCTCTATCGGACAGTTTTGCTAATTGTTTTCAACAGCTCTTCCCCTTTGATGTAATCATGAGCCTTATTAAAGGCCGCTGCTAACGTCGGGAGACTCTTCCGTATTAGATATCGTTTGAATTCACAATTATTGAGGCCACTCATCAACGCCATAACTGCGATTTCTTGTTGTAACTTCGGGATTGTGTTTGCTTCATTGTTGAACCTCCTGATATAGTCCCTTAGAGATTCATCCAATTTTTGCTCAACTGCCATCAGCTCTCCTGACGTCCTGCCCCACAAACATCTTTGTCAGCCTTTCAAAGCTATCAATCGTTCCATTTCCCAAATTGGGAAACCAATCTGAAGCTGCTCCGGTCAAGGTGGTTGGGAAAACCTTGCACCAAACGACATCAAAATTTGTGTATAGGATCATATTCCCTTCATAGGACGTTATGTATCTATTCAGATCACCCCTGCTGTCATACTTGCACATCGGCATTTTAATCTTTTCCATCGGCTGATCAAGAATATCTTGTGTAAACGGTGAGGCCCTTGGTTTCACAACTACACTTGTCGCACCTTGCCTGCACTGTGCGAAGTTCTCTGCCTTTGGGTCCTCGAATTGACAACAGGACTGGAGGATTGTGCCTCTGTCTCCCGATTGGTCGTATGCGTCCTTATCGACGACGCCTCCCGGGATCGATGCCTAGGAGAACGCTTCGCACAGTTGAATTGGCTGTCAAGGTTGACTATCGGCACTTCACCTCCGGTCTGCCCGGTCCTCTTGCTTCTTTTCTTTTTCTGCTCAATGCCCTCATTACCTTGGCTATCAACTCCTGTTCCTCAAGAATAAACTTGGCCAAGGGATCCGGTATTGTATCGTTATCGGCATATTAAACACCTTTCTAAGGTGTGGTCTCCTCTTCTATTTCAACGTCTGGGACACTCGTACCATTTCCAGTTGTCATATTCAAATTAACAGTTTTCGTAATTTTGTTATCATTTACAAGTGTTTCTTTATTTCCAGTCATGATTTTTACTTTGTTGGGTTCTTAGGCGATAGAAGTAATCACTATCCCTTCCTTCTGGCGCCAAATTGTACCGGATGCAACCCGACAACCCGTATTCGAGATCCGCGAATACCCTATCATCCAGCTAAACACCTACATAGATAATGAGGATTAGCTAACCTCGAGGTGAGTCCGGGGATAACCACTTCGATGACAAAGTTAGAAAGTGTTTAGGAAGAAGAAGAAGAAGAAGAGAGAGAGGGAGAGTGTGGGAGCATTTATTATTTTTCTCTAATCTAAGAATTAAATGACTTATTTACTAGATTTTCCTGTGGGGTGGCTGCATTGCAAATAACATACATGCCAAGTGTTGGTCGTCCCACGCCACGTGGTGTACGCAGGGTGACCATGGCTCTTGCCGTTATGGGTGAACACCGATATGAGTTTTCTGATCTACATTTGTAACCCGAGCCATTTCCAAAAGGTATGATATCGGCACTGTTATGCCCCTTATCGATATCCTCCCATACACTTTCTAAGAATTTTTCATTGCAATTGCTTATCGTGTATGATTATACAACATTCATTCTTCAACTTATGTATCTCAACATTTCTTCCATGGGCTTAACAAGAAGATGATGTTATACAGGTATAGTTACATTTTGAATGTGACAACAATTTAGGTTTAATAAATTTCATAAAAAATTAAAATAATGAAAAGCTGTTGCTTCACATAACATCCTAACATCAGAATGGAAGATAAATAGGCTACCATATTTTTTTTTTTTTAATTAATCAGCAAAACTTCTGATTAATGGCTTTATGTGACTACTACATTCTACAGGTAGATAAGGACAGTCATCTCGGGCTAAATTTATCCAAATACGAGTACTTCATAAACAATGTTTACATGCAAAATCTGCTTAAAGATTATGGTATTACATTAGCTTCTAAAACAATGTTTATCATACTATGTACGGAGTAATAAAGTATTTACCTCTTGCACATTGCTCACAACAAACATCATTATCTACTCCAAAAAGACTTGTATCCTATCTCCGAGTGTGTCATTAAAATCTAATAGTGTCCCTTGCATCCCATCAGCAGCATTGTCTAAAAGTTCCTTGAGGTTTACACCCACCAAGGCTGTTCAACACAACATAAACAATTAAGATCTTGAAATGATCGGTCCCAAGTCCAAAGCTCCAAGGTATCAACATCAATGATAACACAATTGATGGTGTAAAGCAATGGGTCATTTGTTCATCAAAGGTAAAGAAATACGAGTACATAGTATAGTTTACCAAGTCAATTGCTAACAGATACGTCGCATTAAAAATAAAAGAAAAATAAAGAACTAGCAATAAGCAGCACTAATAACGCCAAGGTTGATGTTTTTTAACATATAATTATGGTCTCAGTTGTGAAGATTAGGGGACAAAATTCATTGCATCAATCAATTAGATGTAAGACACATTGGCAGTTACTGGCCTGGGGTCCAATTATTAAGGAAGCTCTGAGTTTTAGTATAGTTGTAAGCCATAAAAACTTGACAAAGTACATTGGTTTAGTGGTGTCAAATTATACGCCCCCTAGATATCTATAGTTTAATACTTTAAACACTACGGCAACTTTCGAAACAACTGAAGAATGTTATCAAAATTAAAAGGGAAGATCAAAACTTTTTACAATAGATAGAAGGATGTATGCAATGAAAGAACAGTACCCAACAAAGATAGCCATATGTTGGACACAGTAAGATTACTTATAATTAATTTTTTCCTCTTAAATGGATTATTTTGTGATCATAGTATACGTTTAAGGTTACAAGGGAAATTCTATAGGATGAAAATTAGACCAACATTATTATGCGGGTTAGAAAGTTGGGCGTTTAGGAAGGAGCACATTAAAATGATGAGTGTAACAGAGATGCATATGTTGAGATGGATATGCAAGAATACATCGAGGGATAGAATTAGGAGGGTAAATATTTGGAGGAAAGTTAGGATACGAAGAGGGAGAGTTGGTTATGGTGGTTTGGGCATGTGACACGTCAATCAAAAGATGAGTTATGATGAAAATCTCAAGCATAGTAGAGGAAGACCAAAAATGATTTGGATAATAGTTAAAAAGGACATAATAAAATTGGGCTTATAAGGTGATGTATAATTAGATGGAACTCACAGAGTCACAGCAGCGAATGGAGGAAGAGGATTTAAATGGATGAACATATGAGACTCTCAGTTTAGCAGCCAACCACACCATTTTGGGAATGAGGTTACGACTTTTGTTGTTGATGCTGTTACCCTTATCTACTGAGGTAAATCATGGTCATTCTTTTTTTTTTTTTTTTAAATATTGCACACAAATCAGTAAACATTAAGCTAAAGCACACCGAAGAAATGAACAAGTTACTATGAACTGATACCTGGAACTATATTTGTGATACCATCCAAGAATCCAGCCTGCGAGAGAAATGGATAAATTAAGGAAAAACTTCTTGTAGGCAGATGATGAAGAAAAATATGTAATACATACAAAACCTCCTCTCCTCCCAGCAACCTACAAAAAAAAGTAATAGTACATACAAAACATCCCCCACCCCCAAGCTAATACTACATAACAACATGCCTACATCTTTGAAAAATGAAAGAAATGGAGTCATAATTCCCAGGCTATCAAGGGGGCTATTGGAATGGCCAAGGTCAAAATCCAAACTATCCTCAAAAAAACATTCCTGTACTCTTAATTGACCATTACAGCTGTCATTTAAAAAAAAAATTAAAAAAAAATCAATGGATGCTATCATGCCTCAAAAAAAGCTGTTCTCTTTAAACTCAGTACAATATACAAGCACTAAAAATGATTGGATTGCAGTAATGCTCATATTTCAAGAGTGAACAAAAAAGAGCTCATTAGCCTGGCATTCATGGTAAGAACATATTCCCTTTGTTCCAATTTAATTGTCATGCCAAGATTTGGGGGATGGGGAGGTAATAAAATATTAATAGGTCCATCCCGCAAAAATAAGTGTGACAACTGATTTGGGATGAACACAAAAGGAAATTGTGACAATTAAATTGGGAGGAAGCCAACTGAAGGACCAGTGGTGGCCTATTAACAAACAAGATTCTTTGGAACTATTGGAAGCTTCATGAAGAACTATATTTAACCATTAACCATATATCTAATTTCTCCCTTTTTTTTTTATAGTTGGAACACTTTTCTTAAATGGAAATGTCTAATTACTTGCAACCAAGCCATACTTACTAAGTTTGATATGGAAATATTCCAATACTAACCTTACTTGGACACTGTCCCTACTACCACTCTCTCTCGTCAACCCTTCCCCTTGAGTCCTTAACTCCCTTCCAGTCTTCCCAACCACCACCAGTGCCCAGTAGCACCACCTTGCTGCCCCCTCGCCTCTCATAAAGTCACAATCCACCCCAAATACCACAGCCCCAAAATTTACCCCATCTACCCAAAAAACCACCTCACCATCTAAAAAAACCTCACCCGCCCCAAAAACCACCCAACCACTCCGAAACAGCCCTGACCACCTCAAAAACCATTTCACCCTCCCTCGAATTCCACGCTACCCACGCCATAACCACCTAACCCACCCCAAAACAAGCCTAACCACCCTCCAAAAACCATCCCACCCACACCAAAACCACCAAACCCACCCTGAAACTTCAACACCGCCCTAAAATTAGTTCTAATGGTGGTGGGTTTGGTGGTTTTGGCGTGGGGAATGGTGGTGGACTGGTGTTTGGGCTAGCTTTGGTGGGTGGTGGGTTGGTAGAGAAAATGGTTGATTGGTGTTTGATGGGGCTGTTTAAGAGGAGAGAGATGGTAGACTTGTGGGCAAATTTGTCATTTTGACTACATGTCTACTTTTACTTCGCTTTTGTTCCAACTAACTTGGTTACAAGCAAAACAATAAAAAAAAATAGAGGAAGTACACTTTATCTTCTCTTACATGTCTGGGAAAATGATATTTAATTTTTTCTTTTGCCTACTTCACAAAGGAATTTTGTGCAAGTATCCAAAATATCAATAACCAAACTAATATGCATGAGAGAATGAAAGTGCTGAATTTGGAATTTATTATTTTTATGGCTTTCACTTGCTTAGTCAATTTCCATTTTTGTTAATTCAAACAATAATCCATTTCATACTCTTGCAACCAACTACACTAGTAGGACCAAGACATAAATGGATGTGATGCATGACTCCTCATACTTCTACATTATCTACAGTTTAACAAAATTTTAAGATGAATTGTGATCTTGACCGAGACAAAGATGTCAGAGCCAATGATTCAGCTACTTAGAGTGGTATAAGAATTATAAACAAATAATGTGGAAAACTGAGATACCCAATTAAACATAAGGACATGCACATACACAAGGATCAAAAAGAGGAGAAGGATGGATCAGCAAGAAGGGATCATCATCCGAGTTTACAAATATAGTTCTGGTACACACCTCACCGGAATTTTCAATGTTGAACTAACACACTAATAATACCTCCAGGATCTAATCTTATATAATTTACTTTCTAAAGACATGGAAAAAGAATTTTGTTAGCAACTGAGTTTGTAATTCAAATCTTCATCTTTTGGACTTTTTTTGGTCTTGTTTCTTTTTCATCAATGCTACCATTGAAAAGCTCATTACATGGCAAGGAGAAAATAGTTTGGTGAACAAAGATAAAATAAAGGCTAAAAGCATGTGACTTACAGGAACCTTGACATCGAGTTTTTCTTTACCATCCCTTCCTGTAATTTTGATTCTCAATGTTCGAGACCAGAGATTGCCAAAGGCTCCCCTTGAGCCATCTGCACCAGTATAGACTTCAGGTGTTATCACTTCAATGGGATGATCTTGCGGAGATTGTTCACTCTCATTCAAGCTATCTTGTTTACTCTGTATGAGTTTGTAACCACTATCAACAGCTAAAGATAACCACCATTATAAGCAAGTATCAGTAAGAAGGAAATCGTGTTTCAGAAATAGAAAATAGGCATAGATGTGTATCCGGCATTTTTATTAGTTAAAAGCATTTACAGTAAGGAAGCTACATGTTTTTACTAAAAGACAAAAATATCTATTAATTGAAAAAAACAAAACAAAACAAAGTTTCCATTCCAACCAAACGGCCCCTTAAGGTTAGGCAAAATCCCCTTCGATGCCCGCTATAGTCCATACGTGTATTTCCAATATGGTTCAAGTTCATAATGTAGTTACATATGGAGTACCATTGCCTAGATGATTTTGACTCTTCAGGCATTAAATCACTGACATGTACAACATATGTTTTAAGGTTGATCAGCAATGATTAGGAAAAATAAACCTGTAACTTTGATCCAATAGCCCAAATTTGTCAAAATTAATTGATTCTCTTACACAACAGTGTCTTTCATCAACGTTCAGTCTACAAATATTTCCATATGTAATTGATAATCAATTTCTGTGCATGTATCTTCAGTTTTTGTAATTATTTTGTTAAACATCAATGAAACTAATAAAAGATATTTCCACTAACAGATGTAAATTAAATTCTTCTTCAGTTTTAAAGTCAATTAAATAATCTTGTCCTCTAAGACACCCTTTTACATAAAGCCATTTTTCTCTTCAGAGGAGATATAACCTTAACCTCCTATCATCAACTATCAACTAACAAGATACATCACAATGCAGTTTAGGCAATGCTACTGTGCACATTGAGCAAACTGTTGAACTAGCAATCTATGAGTTGTTCACTCCTAAAACAGCTGCTCTGGCAACAACATAAAATTTACAAAAAGGTAATCAGATTCAGCGAATATGTAAAAACAGTACCCACATCTGAGATAAAGAGCTACTTTCAATGCAAATAATTCATAAACTAACCTCGACGCGAAGGTGGTGGAGTCATGATTAAGGCATATCGCTTCTCCTCTTCATAATAATCATTAAAACCTAAAATATCTTTGATTTCCTCAAAAGAAGGCATACTTCCTGGGGAAGGAATATGGCCTCTTCGGATGGCCTTTAGGGCATCCTGCAGCAATAAATGAACGTGGTCAGACAGAATGTACATCACCTGTCCACCGAACATTATCACATTTTATTGGTTAAAAACTGCAACAAACCGATTATAAGCTATCTAGCACTAAAGTTAGTACTTAGAAGCCTAAATGATTTTGATTACACTACAGTGTCCAGACATTCTTTTAGCATAACCAATGTTAGATTTAGTAAGCTATCGATAGTGTCATGACTAAGTGGGAGGCTGCATCATATATTTACAGACAGACACACTGGGTGCAAAAACCAATATGAAAGTCACAACTAGCTCTTTCCAAAGGAGTTATCTTGGCTAGTATATGTCATATAGATCTTCATTCTATAGCCTGTGAGACATAAGGTGGACCATACCCAAAAGCTTGTAACCTCTCATGGACTATTATTCTGACACACAAATCATTTACAGCTGCTATCACTACAGATTCCACAGTACTTTATCATTCCAGTTGGAGGGATACAAAAGAAAATGGAATAAAGCTCTTAGGTAGTGACACTTTGTCGCACAGAGGAATTTTGGAAACGAAACTTGTCCACAGCAGATATCGAAATCCAACTATCGATGTGATGGTATTATTGGCATCTCAAGACTCAAGTTAGAGCAATAGTGTCACAATCCAAATGTTTTGACACAAGTCACAATCCAAATGTTTTGACACAGAATCATAGAGTGCACTCTTGCTGATCCAGTGGCAAGGGCGCTAGTCTAGTATGGAAAGGATGTGTGAGCACGTAGTAACATATGCAGGTGTCTGATTCTAGAAAGGTACTCTTGCATATTGAGCAACAAAAGCACAGAGGTTTTAGGGGCTTGTGCAATTCTGCAATTGAGCGGGTCAACGCAATGAGCACAGAGCAACCAAATCATCGAGTTGGGGCGTCTTAGAATTTAGGATGCTGTAATGCATGTGAGGACACAATATCAATATGGATCTTACAACAACACAAGCATTAAAGCAAGGCAACTTTGGTGAAGAAGCTTGGATCTCTCATTGATCAATGATCCCTAAACACCTTTATTTGGATCATATTGTATTCAGTGAACATTGGATTGACAATAGCATGTTAATGACATCTTACGCCTATAAAGTATAACAGTAAGCCCTAAAAAGCAACTAAAACATTGAAAAAGGGGTAGGATTAAAACAGATAAAGACCAATTAAACCAAAAGAGTGGACTTTTAAGACACCTTTTCTTCAATTGCAAAAAAGGCATTGGTGATCCTTTTTTTTTTTTTTTTTAATATTTTGTTTATAAGACATAAGCCTAAACCAAGGTATACTACAATAACCAAATTTTAAATCATTTTAAATTATTATTTTCTAGGGAAAAAGAGTTTAATAATGATTGAGTTTTTATACTTTTATAGCTAGTGGCAAGTGTCACATTTGCTTTTCTAGTTGTAAATATGAGGGAGTTCAGTGTGGTTCTTAACCAATTCATGTAGATTTCATTGATAAAAGGACTTTTGGTTAGATATTTATTTAATATTACCTCCATTTAAGAGATATTGTACCATTTGCAAATTTGACACTATTCACATGATCTTCTTCAACTAGACATTGTAATTGATACATAAAGGAAAAAAAAAAAAAAAAAAAAACATAGTCACATAAGGTCTTGTTAGATTTGTCTCGGTATACACTTTCATGTTATCAATTTTTATAATTTCTAATCTTATAAAATTGAAAATATATAAGATTGGTCATGACAATACTAACCTCTCTCCTCTCTCCTACACCCTAGCCTCTACTATTGATTCTTGAAGGGTCCCCATCGGATTTTGCCAATGGAAAGCCCCAATCTTTGTTTCTATAAAGTTTTGTTTTTTTTTTTTTTGCTTTTTGGTTATTTTTTAGTTATAATATGGTTCCTTCATTTGAGAGAAACTTGTCTCCTTCGAAATAAAGAGTTTGTGATCTCCTCTAAAAAAACAAGGTTTACTTGATCTCCCCTTCAAAAGACAGGTTTTTCGACCTCTATCGAAGACTGGGTTTTTCAAACACCTTAGAAAGAGAAGGTGTTCTTTGTGCGTGGTATAGCCTCCTCGACAAAGTTACCACAAAAATTCTCTTCCTCACATAATTATAAAACGACAACAGATCCACTTAAAAACATGGAGAATGTGTCGAATTGTTATATCTATGTATTTGAATTATTAGCTTTTTCTAATAAATTCTTGTTTGATTTTGTTAAATCTATTTTCTTTTTTTCATTAATTATCAATTGTAGATGTTGTATTACTTTAATTAATGAAAATTAGTGTCCGTTGTGACTTATTTCAAAAAAAAATTAAGATTGAAAATGTGCATTGGGATGTCAACTCCGGGGCAAAACAAACGAAATATTGATTTTCATTTTTTATTAATAATTAATTACAAACCTAAATCTATCCTTATGCAACGAATAAGCAATGTTATCAAGAAAGCTAGTTAAGGAGTGGTCCAAAGCCAGTTTGGAAATGAGTCACAAAGGTATGATGTGAGGAGAGTGTGTAGTCATATAGAGGAGATGGGTTATGTATGAGGCATCGTAATTATGGTGAGAAAAAGTTGTTTAAAAAGAGAATCCACCTCTTCAAGGCAAATTATCATTTATTCATCATTTAAATTCATTTTCCGATAATACGATGAAAAAAATTCTATAGTACCTTAAATTTTAAATTTAAATCCTAAGTTCCTCAAATTGTACTTGAAATTACTTTAGAGTATTGGGTGTTGAATAATTTAGAGTATTGTAGACTAAATTCATGATGTTTAATTGATTTACTTAGGTTAAGGTGTTGTGATTTAATTAAACAAGTATTAGAAGCAAGATAAACCTCGGTTTAGAGGAAAGCAACACCGCCCGGTCAGAAGCGCAAGAACGTGTTTCTAGCGTTCGGCAACCGCCCAGTCCGGGCCACCACCGCCCGGTAGCACGAGTGTGAAGAAGAGAGGACGTTCCGTTCGGGCCACCATCGCCCGGGAGCGAGGACGAGTTTGAGAAATTGCGCTTTCCCGCATGGCACGGCCACCGCCGCTCGGCTAACGCATGAGGGTTCAAGTTGCGTCACCCAGATTCGCCCGATCGGGCGAGGTGGGGCGCGAGTCCACATTGATTTTGACGGTTTTCTTCACGTTGCTTGTGATTATTGCTCTTGGTATATATATGTTCTAAAAAAACATATGATGAATAGATTAAAGAAAAATCAGTTTATTCATGGTTCGAAAACTCAGTCGTACCGTCGCAAATCGGCCGAGATGTAACGGAATTTCAACTTACCGTTCCGATATTTACCGATTCAGCACGCTGTTTTTTAAAACCCCGCGATATTGGCCGATACGACCGTTTTGATAAAAATCGCGGCCGCATCAAACGTTACCGGCGGAAAATCGAAGAAAAAAATCCAAAATTTAAGATTTTTGAGAATTTTTACGAGGTTTATGATTTCTCCATGAAAGTCGATCAGTTTCTCGGCAAGTCACTGTTTGAACAAAAATGTTGTCTTTTAAAAAAAAAATTGGGGTAAATGGGTCCGACTTATGGTGGAATTTACTAGTGGAACATTAATTTTCCTTTGAAACTATAACCTTGACTGGTTGACCCCACTACCTTTTCTATGAGGATTGTTAAACGACGCCCTTACTTTACCGGGTAACGCCCGTATTTAAACGTAATGGACAAATATAATATTTTTCTTCCCTGGCCTCTAACTCAATCGTACATTCTCTCCTCCCAACAAACCACCACCAACCGACGGCAAGGTCATCGAACACATCGCCGAAATTAAAGTCGTTTTTTTTTTTTTGGAGGCCAAACACCTAAATTTTTCAAAACTCTAGGGGAGAAACGCCTAGAATTTTCAAAAGTCCCTAGGAGATTCGAAAACTCTAGGCGTTTCCAACCGTAGAATTTTTCATTTTTTTTTGCGTTTTTTGTTTTTAACATAACTTTTGATTCATAACTCAAATTAAGACAAATAATATATCGTTGGAAAGCTCTAAAAACCTACTTTCCAACCCAATTCGAATCAAGTTAATATCATGTCTAGATCTCAAGATAAATTATGAAAAAAATACTTAGATATAAAAAATAAAAATCCGTGCAATTCAAGAAGGACAAAAATAAGGGCAAAAAGCCTAAAGTAAATAGTGATAGTAAAAAATCATGTGCTTGTTGGGTTTGTGGAAAATCCGGTCATTTTAAGATAGATTGTACAATTTGGAAGAAATTAAGCAAGAAAAAGTCTAAGGTGGGTAAGGCAATGCTAGCCAATCCCAAGAATAACAAGGTAACTCTTGTGCACAAATTTCAGATAATTCATTTATGGATTATGTGTGTATGATTTTTGAAATCAATTGTGTACAGGTTGATTGTTCGTGGTACATCGATTCAGGAGCATGGGGCATGTATGCAAAGATAGATCATTGTTCAAGACCTTCATGGAGGTTAATGATAGAGAGATTCTCTATATGGGTAATGACTCTACCGCTAAGGTGCTAAGCAAGGGACAAGTTGAGCTAGTTTTTAGTTTAGGCAAATCTCTTATTTAAAGAGATGTGTTGTATGCTCCTGAACTTAGGAGAAATCTAGTGTCCACTGCTATCTTGAATCGTTTAGGATTTCAAATGAGGTTTGAGTCAGATAAGATTATTTTGTCTAAAGGTGGTCAATTTGTAGGACTTGGATATTTGTGCGATGCTATGTTTAAATTAAGTATTTGTATGCTTTAAAGATAGTGTGTATGTTGTAATGACAATTCTTCTCTATGGCATTTAAGACTTGGTTTGATAATTATAAATAATTGTATTTTATGTCTAAGCATGATTTGATACTTATGTTTGATCTAAGGATAGAGAAGTGCAAAACATGCATGTTAACAAAAATCACAAGGAAACTGTTTCGGGCTTTTTTAGATGTCCTGCGGGAGAGTTACAACACCAAGACTGGCCTCTAGACGCCTGTACCTGCAAAATAACGGAGACTCCTGTGGG